TTCCAAAAGTCCCAGGAGCACAGGTCGGAGGAGACGAACTCTTTGGAAATAACCCTTCCAAGACTTTCTTTTCTGCCATTAAATGTTTGTATTTATTTTGGTCATTTTTACGAGAAGCACTTTATTCCCTCCCCCTCACTGATCACAAATGGAATCACCTCTTTCGGCAGCGAGATGCAGTCACTCTGGGAAGATGCTGCAGTGACCGTGGTCGCGGCCGGTTCCTCTCGGGAGACGGGACACGGCTCCTCGCAACACCCAGGAGCCCCCCAGGCTGGCTGCCTGTGTGCAGAGGCAGGACACAACCGTGGAGCGTTTCCAGGACTGCATTTTAGACAGAGTGAAATGTACATGAATTTGGCTTTTGCTCGAGAGTCTGTGTATGGTTTTTTACGGTCCTTTTTCCCTTTCTGTTTGCAAGGTAAGAGCTTCCATTCCGTGTGCAGGGAAAGCAGCTCACAGACGCCATTACAACCAGCTTCATCCTTCCTTCAGGATCATCCTTTTGTACTTGACGCTGGACGCTCTTGGAGAAAAAGCTTAAATATTTCGCCAGAAATCTTAATTGAGCAGCGGTCATATCGCCACAGCTTTGTGAGTACACAGCTAACAGATGCGTCGAGGCCTGAGATGTGCTCGTTTTTATTCCTCCTCTCCCAGATTGGCTCCAGCAGAAAAGCCCCAGCTCTTGTGCCAGCACTACTTGAAAACATGGCCACTTTCTAAGCTACAGACAATGAGAAAATAACTCGAAAAGATGGCAGAGGCAAATCCACAGAAGGGGGGACTGCCCTCCACACGCCCCTCGAGCACACACCAGGAAGATCACCAGCTTGGATGGCCGTCACCTCAGACATCACTCCAGGAAGCACCCGCAGGAGCTGGGCCCCCCACGCTGCCTTCCTGGGCCAGCTTCCTGCTTGTAGTCACTCGCTTAGCACAGAGGCGGGGCTTCCGGCAGGGAGCGGAGATTCCTCATAGGTGAGTCCAAATGACCTCCAGCCTCTCGAAGGCATCAAGACAAATTGAAAGAAAGCAATAACTCACCAAAGCTCAACGCTGCCCCTGCCCCGACTTCCAAGGGTTTCTTCGTGTTCCTCGTTTCACCCCAGAAGGTAAAGGTTTCCTCTTGGCATTTTCGGAGGAAATTTGTAGGACACCCAAGGCCACTAAGAGACAGCCTCCTTGGCAAGGGCAGGCAGCACTTTTGTAGCAACTTGGGCACCAGCTTTTCTGGACAGCCTGGCTTCTTACTGGGATTGTCCAACTCATCCCTTCTTGAAGCGTGTCTTTGCCATGGACTATGTCCTTCCAGGGAAATCGTGGTCTCGGGCCTGGGTGAGACAATGAAGTGACTTCCAACCAACATTGCTAGAATTCACAGGGCAGAAAAGGGGTTGACCTTCTCCCCTTCCAGCTTTCCACCCGGCCTGCTGTTTGCTGTCTCCGCCCATGTCTCCTCCACATGCAGTCCACACATCAGTAGGAGCCTGGTGATGTGTGAAGACACAGCAAGGGGCAAGCAGACTCATGGCCACGTGTTTCCAGTGGCTGGACCATGCCGACACCTGGGATCTTGAGGTACCCAGGAAGGGAGGCTGTCTGGCCGGCCTCTCCCCACCTCCACTTGCAACACGTCCAGCTCATCCTCATCTTCCCTCTTTTTTAAAGTCACGTTTCCATGTTTCAACATTAGTTTGCATTCACCTTTACAAAGGCCTTTCTTTAGATCTGTGCAGCCTTTGCGTGCCAAACTTGTGAAATTCCTTTTACCTTTTTTGGAGTACTTGCTACAAAGCCACCTGTCAACAAACCCCCGTTACGTACAGAATAGGACCTGTCCAGTAGCCAGGCCCGTAGGCAGTTGGGGAAGGTGGGAAGGATCCAGCGAGGCCCCTGAGACCGCACCTGGACAGGTGTACGTCTGCACCCATCACCCCCAGCACCAGGCCACCCTGCAGTCCAGTCCACTTACTACTGTGTTGCGGAAGGATTTGCTAAGTGATGAAAGTTGCGAGCAGCCTCACGCTGGTCATGTAAACTTTTTTTTTTTTTTTTTGGGGGGGAAATTGAAGCTGTAGAGTGCTGCCCGAAATCTCTAGGAAGGTGGTGGCAAGGGACAGTACTCACACTCTTCTGGTCATGGTCTCTGATCTCCACCTCAAATGACAATAAAAAACCGGTCCAACAAAGACAGTGCTCAGCACTTCAGCCATCAGGACTAATCCATCAGTGACTGGAAAAGAGGCTAGCGCTGAGGCCTGGGCTCCTGGGACCAGAGTCCAGCAGGTGTGAGTGAGGCTGACTTGCCAACGGCCAGCAGGTGATGTGTCTCAGCCGGCAAGGCGGTCCCCCAGCTGTCCTCCCACGGCAGCCTCAGGAGGAGGCTGGGTGCCTGTTCTGTGGCAGCTTCAGCCCAGGGATATCCAGCTGTCGAGGAACACCTTTATAAAATGTTGCCAGAGCAGCAACACTTCCCGCTGAGCACAGCCCCGGGAAATCTGGTACCAAGTGAGCAAGGCGGCCGGGCCCACCCAAGCCCGCCATGCGCCTGGGCCCGCCTGGCTCTGCAGGGGAGGCTGCTACGGCTGCCCACTTCCCAGCACAGTCTGTGGCGCTTGAACCCCTCAGTCCTGTTCTCTTCCTGGCTAATAGGGAGACCCTTCTCAGGCACCCACTGTTTCAACTTGACCCTCCCACCCCCTGCTCCTCCACACACCCCTGCGTCCTGCTAGCCTACCCTGTCAGCCTTTCAATAAACGTGATGCACAAATGTGGACACCTGAGATGGAGCTGAACATTTCTTCACTTTGTTCTTTTCCTGAAGTCAAACTCTTATCAGATACTCTAATTATTACCACCCAAGAGAAACAGGAAAAAGGTTTCAATGCTTTTGTTTACTGAGAGTAAGAGCACCTGCGTCTGGAAGACGGGCTGGTAAGTTGGTTTGGCTACAGAACAGAAAGAAAACAAAAACAAACCTCGTAGGGGAAGTATTGCACTCAGACACCACCACTTCCTAGAGCCAAATGAGCGATCCCGAACTGGAAGTGCCATAAGCGGGCCTGCGACATCGTACCGCCCGGCCCCAGGTATCGCATGTCCTCTTGTCTAGAAGGCACCACCTCACTTTCATGTGCCGTGTGTTTTGGAAAATCAGTATGGCGTGTCATGTCTAGCGGCGAACACTTCGCTCCCCCTGTCCTTGAGGTTGTAATATAAAACCCGTGTTTCTGTACGTGTGGGTGGGGCTTCTCTGACGGTGCTCGTTCATAGCACAAGCTTACACTGAGTTCTGAACTCGTTCACAGCTGCGTGTCTGCATGGTGTCGCATCTGTTGTACCTTTGGGGAAAATTTGTATGTAAATGTACAGAAATAAAAATGTTGCCCCATTAACAGATTTCCTCCGGAATGTCTTCCCTACCTCACCTGATGGTATCCAACAAAGGGCATTTCACTACCATTAACGATGAGTAATAAAATCCTCTGTGTTCATTCAGACCTCGCTGCGTCACTACTTTTCATGCCTCTGTAAGCTGTGTCTTCACTCGCCCCGAGGTGGGTGGGGGGAGGCCTCTCACTCTGCCTCGGGTCCTGGTCTTAAAGGTAGTCAGAGGCAGAGGCTGGATTAAACACAAACTGTTTACCAAGTGCCACTCTCAGACCACCTGGGAGATGGGGGCCATCAGTAAAATTAAGAGGAATTTTTTTCCCTTGTTCGTTTATGTTCTGCTGATCCGTGGCCTGAAGGTTCCTAGAGACGTCAAGAAATGAGTATCTTACACTGTGATTCTGTGAGGAAAGACTGGTAACCCAAAACTCTCTTCTCTAATGTAGTATTTTTTAATGAAAATGACAATATTTCTTTAATAAAGTATTTATACCAAACTCTTCTCTCCATAGCCCTGATTTTGTGTCACTCGCTATTATATTCCTAGAGGTGTCCACTCAGCTTTGCAAGCTGTGATGAGGCTGGCCGGGGCCTTGAGGTTAGCACGGAAAGTCTGCAAAGGAGGGAAGCGCCTGGAACCACAGACTCACTCCTCTGACGCGCCCTTCCGTCCTGGCCAGGGTCACCACCTTCACTTGCCTGCTGCCGGCTCAATGCAAGACTTTTGCCTCTGGATGAACAAAAAGGGTTCCGACGGACCCCAGAGGTTAGGAAGTTTTTGCCAGCGGTCCTCAATCCTGCCTGCACAGAGGAACCAGGGGAGCTTGCAGTCCTGCCAAAGCCTGGGCCCCAGACCGTCTGAACCTCTGGAGGAGGCCCAAGACTGCAACCCACTTCAAGCGGTAGCATTAAAGATTAAAGGCTAAGGAGTACAAATGACCAAAGCAGGTACCTGAGGTACTCTGGATTTGGGATAGAAGAGAGGGGAGAAGGGAAGATGATGAAATAACAAGAGGAGCAAGAAGGACCTGAAGCCTTTGAATCCATAAAAAGGAAGGAGATAAAACCATAATTGACAGATATCTAACTGCCATGGTACTTATAGTTTGCAAAGCATTTCTATCTACCTACTTAATCCTAACAAGAACCTATCAAGGTGGGGGTTACTCCAACTTTATAAATGAGGAGACAGAGCCTAGAAGTCAGACTTCACAAGACCACAAATGTAGTAATGGGGCAATGTAGGGAGGTGCTCACATGTAGGCCCAAGAGAGAACACAGCAAAAAAGGAGTGCCCAGAGGAAGGGTTTAGGGAGAACACAGCAAGAAGAGAAGTGCCCTGGGGTTTCACTGCAATGAGAAGGAGATAAATGCATCAATTCACAAGACAGAATTCTGAGGAATGCACACACAAACCTAAAGCATATTTACACATCACTTTAATTCTAACTGAGGATGCACATGAGACAGTCATGTCTGACTGAAACCCTTAGATTAGATTACAGCCTTCAATCCCAACAGAAATCCCATTTCGTCCCTCTTCACTCACAGCCAAATGAGGAAGTGTGTACTGTCCACTTTGCCTCTCCTTCACCAGGTGGGTCAGTATGAGCCTTTTGGTCCACACACTGCTGAGAAGGAAGCTCAAAAGATTAACCCCTTAAAAACAAAACGGGAACACGGCCTGACGACAAACTGAAATTCAATCCATTTATTTACATGTACATTGTACATAAGTTAACAAATTCTCACTTCTGCCACTCAGCTAGAACTTTTCAGGAAAAGCCTCCATCTCTTCCTTGATCCTGTTTTCTACAAGTAATGCGAAGTTACTGTCTGTGTTCTGGAGGTTATAGCTGACAAACACCTGTTTGTTGGTCTTCCTGGCTAAAAAGAGAAAACACATTGATACAGCCACTCCTGAAATACTGCAGACCCCGTGTTCCTCACACCCACAAGCAGCTGGGAAATGCTCAGAAAGAGGATGGGGTTGTAGGGAGAGAACAAAGCTCTGATCTCCGCGCCTCTCTTCAGACAGGTGCTGCAAAGGCAGACGAGTCACTCAGGCCTCTCCCAGTCTCTCCACCAGACCGGGGTTCCGAAGGGCAGGCCCCACCTCAGCAGCCTCCCTGGAACTTGTTGAGAGGCAGCTCCTGGGCCCCACCCAGCCCTCCTGACCCAGAAAGCCAGGATGTGGGGCCAGCTGTCTGCGGGAACAGCCCTGCAGGGGCCGGCACTGCTTAAGAACCTCTGCTCTGCACAGAAGCGTTTCTGGTGTTCTGATTTTTAAAAAAATGTTTTTAAAACACAAAAAATAAAGTATTTAAAATAAGGCCAGGCGCGGTGGCACAAGCCTGTAATCCCAGCACTTTGGGAGGCCGAGGCGGGCGGATCACAAGGTCAGGAGATCGAGACCATCCTGGCCAACACAATGAAACCCCCGTCTCTACTAAAAAAATACAAAAAAAAAACTAGCCAGGCGAGGTGGCGGCGCCTGTAGTCCCAGCTACTCGGGAGGCTGAGGCAGGAGAATGGTGTGAACCCGGGAGGCGGAGCTTGCAGTGAGCCGAGATCCGGCCACAGCACTCCAGCCTGGGCCACAGAGCGAGACTCTGTCTCAAAAAAACAAAACAAAACAAAAAGTATTTAAAATAAAATATTAAAGTTCTCCTTCAGCACCACCCCACCCCTAACCAGTTCCACCTCCCTCCCTCCTACATTTCCATGCATTTGCATACATGTGTACACACACAAACATATTCGTGTGTGTGTGTGTGCATATACAGATAGGCATATGGACATACATGTAATTTTCTACTGAATGTAAGTTTTAGTCCCTTTCTACAGAATTGATAATAAATGGTTGAGGTGCGCACTGGGTCAACCGCAAAAATCAAGTAGAGTCACATACCCGGCATCTGAAAGCCGATATCCTGAAAACAAGTGGGCAAGAAGGCTACGGCAGTTCCCTGCTGCCTACCCCACTGCGGGGCCTCCTCCTTTAGCCTCACCCACACGCAGGGCCAGTGCAGAACTACTCACCCCTGAAGACGCACTGACCCGCCCCCACCTCAACATACGGTGACCATGTACTGAGCCTCATCACCAAAAGGCCGAAAGGTGGTGCGGTGACGCTGAGGGGCACCAGGCCACCCGCACCATTACTAAAGCCCGACTTAGAACACACGTCACAGGATCTCACCTGGGCGGCAGTTCTGTCCTTTCAGTTGCCACTGTCTGAGCTATGGTCCCACCAAGAACCCTGAGAGGCAGTGTGGCTCGGGGACACAGGCACAGGCACAGGCCCCACCCAGGCCTGGAAACCTCTTCCAGCTTTGTTTGTAAATTGAGAAAGGGTAGAGCCCAGGACCCCAAAGGCCTGTTTTCAGCTGTATAAGGCTGTGTGATCTTTAGGGCTGGAAGGGTCTTGGGTATTATTTAACTGACTGTCCTTACAAGGCAGCCAATGCACCTATGAGAAAGCAAGAAGGCGAGCACAGCCTCCACCTGAGGACAGCTGTGAATTGTATGGTACGGTTTACATCTCGGGAAATCTTTTTTCTATTAAAAAAAGGAGTGTGTCTGGACGAAGGCAGCTGTTCGGTTATTCCAAGAGCCGGTGTTTACAGAACAGCTTTTACAGTACTTAGCAGAGAGCCTGCCACCAGCATGCTGGGTGCAGGGTGCCCCCGAGGCAGACAGCTGTGCCCAGTTATCTGCTCAACCCTGTGGGGGGTGAGGAAGCCTCTTACGCTTCCCCTACCACGAGGACCAAACTCATCCTTTCCTAGCTGCGTCAGGCAGGCTGCGACCACTCGTGTAGAGGCTGATATGAAGGCAGGCAGTGTGGTAGGAAGCCGGGGCTCACCAAGGCTGGCCAGGAGGAGCCCAGAAGTCACACCCTCTCCCAGGGGCAGGAACGTCCCCTTTACCCCAAGGAGGCCCCCTGGGATTCCAACTGCTCTAACTGCAGCGATAGGACTTCCGGGGAACAAAGCTGTGTCTGGAGGCACTGTCGCCCTCAGACCCAAGCTGTGCCCTCCAGAGCCATAGGAGGTTGGGTCCCCTTGGCCACACCAACTCCTGCGAAGCTTCCAGAGCTACTGAGAACCCCCCAGGCCTTCTCTTTCCCTACTTGCTTTCATCTCTCATGTAAGATTACGATTCAGGACACCTCTCCCTTTTCACTGTAGTGCATTAATAGTGCACTTTCAACTTTAGGGCCCGGACCCAGGCTGGAGACAACCCGCACAGCACAGGACTTGGCTGGAAAACCCCTGCTTGGTCTGAGCTCTGCAGCACCAGTCCCTTCAGTGATGCTGGAAGCCGCAGCACACCCTTGACTTGTCAAGATACTGAGAACCCCTCTTTTTTGGCATATAGATACTAGGCCTCCATCTTATAGAGATTCTGGAGCCGAATTTACCTTATTGATGTAGAAGTTATTCACGGCCTGCAAGACACGCTTACATCACCTTCTCTATTGGAGTGTGCCTTGGCAATCCCACCCAGCTTTCTGTCTGTATAAATAGGAATACCTTCCTGAGCCTTCTCCCGCCAGGCGCGGGCACACGGTAACCTGTTCCACGTAAGTGTGCCACCCCTTACACAGTCACAAACGCAAAGTGACACAGAGACACAAAAGGGGGCTTTTACCTTCATGTGGCTCAGAAAAAAAAGATGTAAACACAAAGAGGGAAGGATGGTAAGTGGGAAATCGGGGCAAAAGCTAAGCAGGAATTCTATCTTCTTTGCAACTTTTCTGTAAATTTTAAATTACTTCCTAGTTAAAAATTACCAAAGTAACTTACCAGTCAGGTCTCTACCTCCAAGGGAGAGAAAAAGAATCCTGCGAGTTCCTGAAACGCTGACCTGTGCCCTCCCTGACCTCTGTCCTATCCACACACTGCCATGGGCCTGCTGGTGACACTCCACCCTGCCCTGCCTTCCCCCGGGCCACGTGCCACACTGTTCGTATGCATTTGCCTCAGTGTGACTGACCCAGAGGTTCCTGCTTGTCAGGGACCAGGTCCTTCTCTGCCTGAGACACAGAGAGGCTCCGTGACTAACTCCAGAACTGAAGCAGCTGGGCCTGCTGGAGAACGCCTGACAGGCATCCTGTGCACACCGGCCACAGGCACTGGGGCTGGGGCTGGGGGTCATAGAGCACATGGAATCCTTACCTGGCCCACAGGAAATATGTGTTGGGGTGTGGAAGGCGTGGAGCCTTCAACCTCATGACCTTTGCTTAATCCCCACTCTACGCCACACTCACAGGCCAGGCCAGTCTTCCCTCTGAGCCCTGAAGAGCATCACACTGTGAGTGAAGGACAGTCCTTCCTGCACAGAGGTGACACCTGCTCTACCAGCTGCACTGACTCCTCCAAAGGCCCAGGAGGCTACCTGGAGCCACTGCCCACAGGGGCTGTAGGCACTTCTCACTCTCTTCTCCCAGAAGGAGGTGATGCACTTACAGAAGGGAACTAAATCAGCTCATGGACTCAAGGACACAACCAAGGACAAGGTGGGAGTCCTTTGGGAACAGGCCGGCCCTGGGACGGTGGTGGTGACAGGCAAGCATGGACGTGCCCTTTAAAGAAGACCCAAAGTGCAAAGGTCTGTGCTTCCCAGCAGCAATGAGGTGACGGTTCTTAGCATAAAGATTTTTACTTCCAAAGGGACTTGCTTCATGCTTCCATTAAAGAGTGGGGCTCCCGCCTGGCTGGCCATGCAGCACCAGCTGTGGGTACGTACCTAGGCGCTGGGCAAGGCCAGTAGAGGTCGTGTCGGAAGTGTCTCCGAGGAGGGAGGTAGACACGGGGATGGAGTCCTAAAAGAAAAGCAAAGGGCACACTGCAGTTCTCCACCCACCGCAGGCCAGCCACACTTCTGGCTTCGGGGCTTCTGATTTTTCACGAGGATGGCAGTGGCAGGGTCTGAGAGGACAGACGCAGGTGCCGAGGGAAAGAGGGGCTGGCATTCATCAACAACCAAGTAGGCGGACCCCATGTCACATATGAGGTCAGTAGAGCTGGGAAAGATGAAGTTGGAACCACAGTCCTGTTAATAAGTTCTAGGACCAGTTTCACAGGAAGGCTCGTTTTAGTGTCTGAAACTCCAAAGCATGCTGAAAGGCAACATTACAACCAAAAGGGAAGCAAACAAGATCATGAAGGCCACAGCAAGAAGAAAGTGACTCACAGTCTGGGCACCTGTGCCCCAGTGCCTCGGGCCCCACAGCAGCTGGCTCAGAGGCAGGATGCCTAATCTCCCCATCTCAGCCTGTGAGGTGGCATGCTGCTCCAGCCCCCGCGGGCTCCTCGGGGCCGGCGAGTGCCCTGTGACTTTGAGAAAGGGCACCAGCCACCAGCATCCAAACAGGGAACATAACAACGTGTGAACATGCTTGGCCAACCTCATTTCGGACAAGAAGCAATAAGGTGAAACAAGCAGTACAAATGATGCTCAGATCAACAAATGGGCCCTTCGGAGATGTGGAGTAACCTGCTCCCAACGACTTGGGGAGTAAAATCTCACCATGAAAAATGTCTAGCCAGTCCCGTAATCCCAGCACTTTGGGAGCCTGTGGCGGGAGGACTGCTTAAGACCAGGAGTTGGAGACTCACCTGGGCAATGAAGTGAGACCCTGTCTCTACATTTTTATTCAAAAGAAAAAAAAAAAAAGTAAAATAAAGTAAAAAGGTCTAGCTTAAAAGAAAAAAAAAAATTTATTGGTAATATGGCCAAATTGCTTTTATCAAAATAGCAGATTTCTAGGAGAAGCAGCCTGGCTACAGAGGTCTGAGAATCTCGGGAAGTGGCAAGATTTACAGAAGTACAGAGACTTTGGGGTTTGGTCCCCCTGCCACCCCAACTGTTCTAGCGGGGACAAGTGAACTGAACAAACAGCCACTACGTGCCGGACAGTATGGCAGGGCACAGAGCACAGGCGCTGCTCATCTCCTAAAGGTTCAAAGCCACGTCCACAAAAGACAGTAAAAGGCAGGAGATCAAAAAACATAGGAGAAGAATGAAAGCGTTTACTGTATGCTTTTCATTAAAAACGATACAAAAATATGATCTTAATGAGCCTGCTGTTTACAGATTCCTTAAGTTCAACATTTAGCTGCATGGTAATAGTATTTACAGTTAAACCTTCTAGAAAACAGAAAATCTACCTTACCTAGGGTGGCCTTTTTCTACCAAAAGTAAAACGTAAAGCCCCATTGTGTTACTCCTAAGAGTTCATAACTTCCAAAACCACACTAGGACTGTGGTCTCCCAGCAGATGCATGCCCAGAGAGTTTTCCTGCAGCTGAAGCACCACCTTCCACTCCTAGAAGCCAGTAGGGGGGTCCAAGAATCCCCGAGCAGGCAGGGGCCCAGGTCCCAGGCCAGCTTCCCTCAAGCTGGTAGGACTCAGTATCACTAGCCCTGCAGCCTCTCTGGGCACCAAAAATCCCTGCTCAACCCAAGGTCGGCCAGCTCAGGGTGCATGGTATCTGTTCTCTACAGTCTTACACGTGGGAGTTTAGGGAAGCGGGAGGGAGGAGAGCTCACAGACTGGTGCCATTCTCCACGCGTGGGCTGGCAAAACTCCTGACAGGGCCAGACAATAACTAGTTCAGGCTTTAGGGGTTACCAAGTCTCTATTACAACCGCTCAGCCCTGCCACCAAAGTACAAGAGCTCCACAGACTCTACCTGCGTGGACGGGAGATGGAGGGCCAGCCCACGGGTCACAGGAACCTTGGGCTTCCTGCCTTAAGCGATGGCCTGCACCTCTTTTCCCCGGCTGGCTCAGCCCTCTGCCCCTGGAAAGAACATCTAGGCACACTGTGGCCAGGGAGTGGGACTGGACTTCCGACAGGTCAGGTCACTCAATCGGTCCCCTGTTCCTTCTCCTGCCTGGCCTTGCTGGAGGCGCACTTTCCAGATGAGAAAACACACCCCACTGGGAGCTGTGACCACCATGGGACAGGTGCCCAAAGCCACCCCCAGGAGGAGCCTACCTCTTCCACACTCACTAGCCCAAACCAGCACTGCACAAAGGGGAACAAGGCAGTGACACCAGAGCTGACCAGTGCCCAAAGCCTTGCCCACTGTGACCAAAGCCTTGGGATCAGGAAAGAATGCGAGGTGGTACAGAGCACACAGCCCCACCCATCACCCCTGGTCCCCCAGGCCTCTTCTGCTGCCGCCTGCTCAAAGGCCCACTGCCAGGACCCTCCAGAAAAGAAAAAATAAAAAAGGAAACACCGAGGAAAAGAAAAGCAAGAAAGGAATCCAGATGCCATCCCCTTCCTGAGGTCTTTCTGGGTGCTGTTGTGCACAACGAAAGGGCTCGCCCAGGACTTCCCGCCCCCAGCACCCTCAGTCATCACTGCCTCACTGGCTTCAGAAGAGTCTCGCTGAGGGGGCCTCACTCATTCATTCCACAGGGACTTAGAGAGTGGTGCATCAGGAGCTAGAGATACACACGCTCACCCTGGGCAAGCAGACAAACCTCACCGTGAAACACTCAACGGCTGAGAGAGGGAGCTAACGCGGCTGGGAGACCAGCATTGCCAAGCTGGAGGACAGGGAGGAGCCCTAAGAGGCAACAGAGCCCGAAGGTCACTGGAGTCTTTGGGTGCTCTGAGTTCACCTCGTGGAAGGTTTTAAGCAGAGAAATGAAAATATGCAACTTAAGTCTTAAAACTATCATTCTGTTGCGCTGGTTACAAGGCAGTGTTGTGGCGCGAATTGTGTCCCCGCAAAAAATACGTTGAAGTCCTAACCTCTGGGTACCTGTGAATGTGACCTTGTTTGGAAACAGGGCCTCTGCAGATGTAATTAAGATGTAATTTAGGCCGGGCACGGCGGATCACGCCTATAATCCCAGCACTTTAGGATAAAGATTAGCATAAAGATTCTTTACTTCCAGAGGGACTTGCTTCCCTTTAGGAGGCAGAGGCGGGCAGATCATGAGGTCAGAAGTTCGAGATCAGCCTGGCCAACATAATGAAACCTCAGCTCTACTAAAAATACAAAAATTAACCCGGCGTAATGGCTCGCACCCGTAATCCCAGCTACTCAGGAGGCTGAGGCAGAACTGCTTGAACCCAGGAGGCAGAGGTTGCAGTGAGCCGAGACCACGCCATTGCACTCCAGCCTGGACGACAGAGCAAGCCTTCGTTTCAAAAAAAAAAAAAAAGATGTAATTTAAGACAAGGTTATACTGGAGTAGGGTGGGCCCTTAATCCAACATTACTGATGTCCTTATGAGAAAAGAGTCGGGCTCACTTTGGGAGACTGAGGAAGGAGGATCATCACTTGAGGCCAGGAGTTCAAGAACAGCCTGGGCAAAATAGTGAGACCCCCATCTCTACAAAAAAGACAATTAGCCAGGTACGGTGGCACATGTCTAGTCCTGGCTACTCGGGAGGCTGAGGAAGGAGGATCACTTGAGCCCAGGAGTTTGAGGTGACAGTGAGCTCTAAGAATGCCACTGTACCCCAACCTGGAGACTTTGTCTACAGAACTTTGAAAATAAACCTCTGTTGTTTTAAGCCACGCGGTCTGTGGCACTTTCTTACAGCAGCCTCAGGAAACCAGGGGAAACCAGGCGGCGACGCGCAAAGCTGGAAAGGCGGGAGAGGAGGGGAAATGGTTAATGTCCCAGGCTTGGCCCAGCGTGGCAGGGTGAAGGAGGTGAGGGCGGCTTGAGTTTTGTCTGCTTTGACTGGCGGCAGTGCCTAGGGACTCAACGCGTGGAGTGCTGAGAAAGAGGAGTGTGAAGAAACAGGAATCCAAGATGACTGCGAGGCTCCGAGCGCACAGCCAGGAGGATGGAGCTGCCATCCCAGCGCCGGGCAGGCGGAGGAGGGGGCAGGCTTGGGAAGAGGGCCTGATGTGTGCCCTAAGAGGGCCTAGTGCGAAATGCCTGAGACAGCAGGTGGAGACGCAGGAGTCCCCAAAATATGATCAGTGTGCTCAAAATCCATACGGCACGAGAGCTACGAGGCAGACGCGTCCCCCAGCGCGCGTGTGGCGAGGAGGAGCCCAGGACATTCCGACCTACAGAGACCAGGGCGGGACGCAGCTGCGGGCGGCGGGGCAGGGAGAGGGGCTCGGGGCCCGCGCGCAGCTCCCGGGGTGGTGCAGGCCCGGGCGCCCGCGGGTTCCCTAAGACACCCCGCGGGAGGGCTTCGGGGGAGTCGGGCGCCCTGTGGACCCAAGAGGGGCCTGGGGGGCGGCAGCTCGCGCAGGCCCCGCCACCCGGCCCCGCCCCGCCGCCCGCACCCACACCCGCGGCCGCCCGGCACTCACGTAGCGGCTGCACATGGCCACCGCCAGGTTGCGCAGGTGCGGCGTGGCCCCCACCCACAGGAACAGCGAGTCCGTCAGCCGCATGACGTGGAAGTGGACCAGCTGCTCCCACAGCCTGGCGCTGAAGTTGTGCAGGGAGACGTCCCCGCCGGCGGCGGCAACCAGACCCTCCATGCCGCCCCACGGCTCCCGGCGCTGCACCCGGGTCCTCGCCGCTGCCGGCCCAGCCAGACCCGATGGAGCGAGCACCGAGACACCGAGCGCGCTTTCGCTTTCGGCCCCGGAGGGGCGGGGATGAGGGGCGTGGTCGGGGAGGGGCGATCCGGGCTAGGGTTGGGGGCGTGGTCGAGCGGGGCGGCTGCCGGCCCTGGGCGGAGTAGCTGTCCCGGGCGGTCCTGCCGGCCTCTCCCGCGCTGCAGCACCTCTCCAGACTGGGAAAACCCACTTTAGTCGCAGAGTCCGACAGTGACCTCTAGGAGCCCACGGGCGCCCGGCAGAACTCGCCCTCGCTTTGTTTCCTCCCACACCCTAATTATTATTGACGTGGGGCATTCAAGGGCTGAAGCCAGCCGCACGGTCCTCCCAGGCCGTGACACTTCGCCCGACAGACTTTCACTTTTAATTAGTTCTTTAAGCACCCTGAAAACGGCCACCTTCCGTCCCACCTCCTCCTCCTGGCAGCTCTTTAACTCCAGGGAGGCTTCGACTGTACCTAGCCCTAATTAAGAATGGCAACGGTATTGGGAGAAAGCCTTTAGAAAGGAAAATTGTGTCAACTAAGTTGGCAGGAGGATGAGCAGGCACCCTTTTGGACGCCGAGCCCCGAGCTGCAGTCATGTACATGGCCTCGGGCTACCCCTTTAACCTCGCTGAGACTCAGTTTCCTCATCTGCAAAATGCAAATAAGAACAGGAGCCTTTCCGAGACGTGGAAAGGATGGCAAGAGAGTTTCATGGGAAGCACCATGAATCATCCCATTGTCATACCTGTGGAGAGACCCTCAGTAACAAAGGCTTCAATGGGTTAAGAGAAAAGGTGGTAAAAGAAAACAGCCCATTTTGTCAGATTCTGTTACAACTGACTTTAGCGATTTAACTTGGAACTATCAAAGGTCTGCTTTTTAAACCTCTAATAGATCTAATTGAAATTTAAAAGGACATTTTCCATAGTTTCGTTCTATTTGCTAATTATCGATGATTCAATAATACAGTTAATTTTCAGGTCAATATTTTAACAGCTTTATTAAAATGTGATTAACATACAATAACTGCACGCATACAAAGTGTACAAATTGAAGTCTTGACACATGTTATAACCAGTGAAATCATCATCACAATCCACAGACTGAACACATCCAGTACCCCTCCTGCCCTCCGTAATCACTCCTGCCCCCAACCACTGATCTGCTTCCGGCCACATAGATTAGCTTGCATTTTCCGGAGTTTTATATCAGTGGAATCACACAGTAAGTACTGTTTTTTGTCCGGCTTCTTTCCTTCATCATAATTATCTTGGGTTCATCTGCGTGCGTGTCAATAGCTTGTGTCCTTGTATTGCTTAGCAGTGTTCCATTGTATGGCTATAACATGGTTGTTTATCCCTTTACACTGTGATCTGAGGGACCAAAATAGATAGCTCTTCATCAGCTAGGAGGACCCAAAGATTAAGGAAACAAAGTTACCTACCGGTGGAGAGTTCCAGGCCTGGCTGGCATGGCAAATTTCTAAATCTGGATTGTAAGGATGGTTTCACTGGCTATACATGTGTCAAAACCTCAGTGCTCCTCTCTCTCTCCGGCTTTGCTCTGTCACTGCTGGGGAAACACACAGGAGAGGGTCACAGCCAGTCATGCCCAACATCAGCGGCCCCGGAACACTGCCCTGCAGTCGCTGGACAGCGTCCTCTCTCACTCCCCTTGACTATGCTCCCCAAGCCCCGAGCTGACCCAAACCCAGGTCGAGCAGATGCCCTTGCTTCTGATGGTATGAAGAAAATAGAGGTGACAAGGCCGGATCTTCCCAGCTCCTGGTCCCTCTCCTAAAACACTTGTCTTCATTGGACCCTATCTTTCCTCCTGCCCTCTCTGTGATGGTGAAAGATAAAGATGTCCCTCCTTGCACTGAAGGTCAATCCATCCACCTGTGCTTTGACCCTGTCCTTTCATGTCCTCAAGAACCTCCCTCATTATCTGTGATGGCGTCTCCAAAGAGCCTGCATGTGCCACCTAGGTCCACTTCAAGAAAGGACTTGTCCCAACTGCTAGAAATCCAACCTTCTGCCATGGCCTCCTTCAGAGCCTGCACACCCTCCCCAGGGCAGCCCATATCCAATAACTGATGGAGGCAGAGTATGAAAGCCAGGCCAGTTTGGCCCAGTGCAGGACAACTCACAACTCTGATGGGCCATTTTGGCTCTGGAGTGCCCATGGAGTCAGCCAAGCCTGCATACTGCAAGGGCGGTATTTACCTTACACCATCAAAAGAAATCAAGGATGGATGGTCAAGTGGCTGAATGTAGTCACCCCCCAAAAATATTATGATGCCTTGCTCAGTTCCTGGGCCTGGAACCCAACAATTAGAGAGGTGACCAGGTCCCCTGCACCACCATGTGCCATAACAACTGCCCCTGCCATTCCCTAAATGACCAACTGAGTGGCTGGCCACACATCAGAGAAAGAGGAAGATGCAAACATTTCAAGGGTTAGAGCCGGAATTGAGATCTGGGGGCCTGAAGTGTCATCACAGTCCCTTTTTCGAGTGAGCAACCATCTATACAGGAACAAAAAATAAATGGAGTCCTAGCCAAAGGTCCACTGGGTCTGTGGACCCATCAGGGGTCATTTCTCTGGTCCTCAAATATATAATTGGGATATATATACCTAGAAATTGGCCCAGCACCCACATTGGATCGGTGGCCTATAGGGTTTAGGAGCTATCATAGTGGAGAAAGCCAAATGGAAGCTTCTAAAATTATGGCCCTTCCCCCAGCCAAGCAAGCAAGGCAAAAAAAGTATTGCATCCTGGGGTGAAAATCAGTGCCACTCTTCAGGAGCCAAAGGATGCAGTGGTGGTAGACTTTGTGTCTCTATTTAATTCAGCAGTCAAGTCCTGGAAGATTGCAACTGACTTCCATAAACCCAACCAAGAAGCAATCCCAATTATGGCTGCCATAGCAGATGTGGGATCTTTGCTAGAGTGGTGTGATAAGGCCTCAGGTACATGGTATGTGGCCAAGGATGCAGCAAATGCGTTCTTTTCTATCCCAATCAGAAAAGAGGAAGAGAAACAGTTTGCATTCCCGTGAGATGGACAATATTCATTTACAGTTTTGCCCACGATTCTGTCAAATCTCTGCCCTCTGTCTGAAAAGATTGGGACTGTCTGGACATTCCACAGAATATCACATTGGTGCATTTGCCATGGCCACCTCTGTTTTATCAATGCCCCTTCTTCAGTTCATGCTTTTGGCCATATGGGGGATCTCATAGGAATCGCTTAAGGTTCTTGGATGGGTCAGTGTGTGGGCGCAAGCTACAAATGGATTGACAGTTGCACTATGGCCTCACTCAGTCAGTGGGTCTGGGTATCCATTTCATGTGGACAGAGCAGTGGCCCAAGGTTGGAGTCTATACAGACCCATGGGCAGTGAGGAATGACCTGGCTGGGCTGGTCAGGGACCTTTGGGGAGAAAGACTGGAAGATAAAAGGGAAGGAGGTCTGGGAAGGGGCATGTGGATGGAGTCTCCATGAAGTGTGAAAATCCTTGTGTCACGTTATCACTCAGCAAACAACATCCACCACAGAAGAAAGATTAAGCAACTACGTAGACAGAATGACTGGGCCAGTTGCTGTTAGTCAGCCTCATCTGCCACTGTCCCAGGATGGGCACCATGGGCCCATAAACAAAACAGCCATGGTGGCAGAGATCATGCGTGAACCCAACAGCATGGAATTCTGCTCACCAGGGTTGATTTTGCTCCTGCTGCCACCAAACATCCTACCTACCACCAGCAGAGAGCTCAGCTAAGGCTTCAGTATGGTCCTGCTCCCCAAAAAGAATGACCGAGCACGTGGCTGGAATTTGGTGACACTGGGCTCCTTCTACCCAGAGGAGTCAGCAATTTGTTCTTACAGGAATAGAAGCACATTCCAGGTGTGAGTTTGTTTTTCCTGTCCACAGGGCATCAGATAGCGCCCTTCTCCCAGGGCTGCCACGTGGAAGTGGGTGAAGGCCGTGGGATCCATGGCCACATCACATGCTCCGCACCACTCAGATGCTGCTGCCCACTGAGGGCATGGCTGAAGCACCAGCTCAGAGATGGTAACTACAAGGATGGGGAGCCATCCTCCAGGCTGTCGTATGTCCCCTGAATTAAAGTATTTTCTAAGGTGCTGTGTCCCCCGTGAAAAGACCACATGAATCAGGGAACTGAGGAGTGGAAGCAGGAATGGCCGTCACTTCCACAGTCCACTGAGGAGACTGGGCTTCCCGAACCGGCACGTGTGGACTGCAGGATTAGAAGCCCCATTTCCCAAGGGGAGAACACTTCCACCTGGGACACAGCAAGGGCCTCACCAAGCAATAAGCCATGGCTGCTGCAGGGTACTCTGGGTTCCTTGGTGAGCTGAAAACAGTCACCATCCTGGCAGGGGAGATCCACCCTGGTCATCAGGAGGAGGAGGGCTGTGGACACCCTTTGGGAGGAGCAAGGAAGGTGTTTGGTAACCAGCTGAGCTACTTGGGTGCTGCAGGGGACTCCCTCGCCCAACCGTGACAGTAAATGGAGGAAACAGCAACTCCAGCCTAGGAAGGGCAGATCCCCTTGTGAGGGAAGAATTGTCACCCAGCTCCTGGGGGCACAGGGCCCTCGAGTGTCATCCCCCATAGGGATTTCTTCAGCTACTGAGAACTGCCTTGTCCAAGGTCCTTCCTGTGGGGACTTTCTGATGAAGACAACGGATTAAAGACATGGCCACTGGGGCCCAATGTGCATGGTCAATTCTGACAGCCATTTTCGCCCTTTCTGGCTGTTTTTGTTCCTCACCTAATCTCTAAAGTGTGAATGTGTGGCCAGCATTGCTCTCAGAGCCACAGGCACACCCAGCCGCCTGCAGGCGTTCCCACCTGACTCTTTCACAGCACCAGCCCCTTGGCACAACCACACAGAGCTCCTCCTCCCTTCCCGTCCCTCTGTCCTACCCCCGGGGCCAGCTTGCCTGACTGTGGTCCGGACAGTGGGGCGCATACCAGACGCACTCATTTCCCAACTACTAACATGAGGCTCTTCCCGGTTACTGCAGCAGCGCCGCCTGCTCGCATCTCCCAGGCTGGCCTGCACTGCTGCTGTGACATCCTAATGTTTCCTTGCTTCTTGTTTCACTGGCTTCCAATTTTTCTTTCTCACTATCGCCAGAGAGATCTATCAAACCAATACGTCTGATGATGCTATGCCCTGTAATAAAAATTCTTTGGTGATGTGTAGCCCAAACACCTTTGCAGACACAGCAGGCCCCTCACCTAGCTGCTGGTCCCCTTCATGTCTGTCCCTGATGTCACACTCAGGCGACGACTTCACAGTTCAGTATCTGCCGCGTGCACCACACACACGGCGCCACTGGACCTGGGCCTGCCCTGCCTTACCTGCCTGACAGACGACTCCTCCTGAGGTTCACCCCAACACCACCCCCCAGGGAAGCCTTCCCTGGCTCCAGGCAGGCTGGCGGCAGCTTCTCTTGGCCCTCACTTTTACCTCCATAGAGCAATCATTGTATACAATGTAAAATAAGATGCATTTGATGTAATGGTCTTTCTGCCAGGAAGCTCCTAAGGATAGCGACAGGGGCTTTCCCCTGCAGTGCAGTGCACAGCCTTGGACCCTGCGTGTAAGGCAGATAGCAAAAGTTGATTGAATGGCTGAGTGAGAGAGAACACCGAAGGGCCTCACTGCAAGCCTCATCAGGTCTTAGTCCTACCTAGCTCCACCACTAATTATCTCTATGCCTTTATTCTAGGTCTCTGTTACCTTAGCTGTAAATTGAGAAGATTGGCTTAGATCGTCTCTAACGCGCCATCGCGAGCTAATACCCTGTGAAGACCAGATAAGAGAGCCGAATGGTAACTGGAGCCCTTCACTGCCGCCCGTGTCATTCTGCAGGGGGCCACTAGGTGGCAGGTGGGAAGGAAGCGGGCAGGGTGAGAGCTGCTTTTGCTTTCAGAAGGCGATGGCAGTTCTTGGATTCTTACTCGTGCAGATCTTCAGTCAGGACAGTTTTTTTCTCCAGGTTCTGCAATGGCAGAACGCTCAGATGAAGCACGGGGGTCCTGGTCCCCGGGTAGGCCACAGCCCACAAATGCAAAACCACCCAGCAGCAGAAGGCGAAAGGGGCCGCTTGGAAAAGAAAAGGCAAGGTTGCCTACGCTGTTTGATCCACACCCCCTCCTCTTTCTGTGACCAGGTTAGATTGTGAGCCTTTGCCTGGCATGAATTTCATTAAGAACAAAGATCCAAAGATGATGGATAAGAAGACCTGCTCTGCGACCAGCTGGGCAAGGCGGCTCACATCTGTAATCCCAGTGCTTTGGGAGGCCGAGGTGGGAGGACTACACCAGGTCAGGAGTTTGAGGCCAGCCTGGGCAACATAGAGAGACCTTGTCTCTACAAAAAATGAAAAACTAGCCAGGCGTGGTGGTGTGCACCTGTAGACCCAGCTACTTTGGAGGCTGAGGTGAGAGGATCACTTGAGTCTAGGAGTTCCAGGCTTCAGTGAGCTATGATTGTACCACTGCACTCCAGCCTGGGCGATAGAATGAGAT